GACCAAGAATTTGTGTGAACACGTAGGCTGGTTAATTCATCTCTGTGTGTGCATGACAAATTAAACAAACCTTTCCACGACTTTGGAAGAGCTTTCTCCTTCAGATTCCCCCAGGTAAACAGAATTATCAATATATCCTCCTGGCTGCCTCAACTTCCGGATGTCTTTTCCGAGTCTCAGGAACCTGTCTCCTGGGTACAGCAGACCTATTGTACACAATATTTTTTTAAAGAACATATGTAACATACTACACAGACTAGTAGTTGTGGACCTCGATCTTTTATGAGAGTCACAGAGAATTAAAAATTAAAACATTAAAATAAAACAGAACAAGATATAATGCTATATTATAGTAGCGATGAGATCATTGATGGGTGGCCAAAGTCTGCCTAATTTTACAGAAAGTGTAACAGACTTTTACTATGTTCTAGGTGACTGTATCATACTGATTCAATAGTAACACCTATTTGTATACGAGATCAGAATTCCCCAGTATTTTATCAGGTGCCAATAACTCATGTCTATGAATCTTCATAGAGGGTACAACGTAAGAAGACATGAGCTGTCAAATTAATGGGTCCTTGCCTGCAGGGGCACAATATCAGCTCATATAGTGCATATAGGGAGAAAGAAAGAAAAAAAAGAAAAGAAATCAAGTTTTAGGTCACTATTTGAAGTGACTAAAAATTGAGATTGTTAGCAGTAAAAGGAAGGAATATAAAGTTAGTTTATTGATCAAGGTTAAAATAGATGTGTTGTTTTCTCTGATAACCATTAATGTACTTTTGCTGCCCCCAGGACTGAAATGATGAGGCTTTAATGATTTGTTTATAAATAAGAGATGGGATATGGGTAGAAGAAACTATTTGTTGCTTTTTAAGAGGAGATTGGTTACTAAAATTATTTATATGAAGAGGCTTTCTCTTTTCTTTTTAATATGTATTAGTTTTACTGTTTTAATTAGGTTTAATAAAATTACTATTAAAAAAGTAAATAATACCTTATTCTCCTACTATGTTGCATTACCTGTTACAGCTACATTACAATTTTAAGTTATTCAGTTGTTTTCTAAGAGCACCAATCACTGTTTCTGAACAACAGACCAGCAGCTGGATTCAAAATGGCCCAGGAAAATCAACTGTGCAGACTCAAGGGGCATTTTAAACCTTACAGGTAGCATCAATTGAAAACCATAAATTTTATCCATGATTTTATCAGTTAGCACTATTTATGGCAGGAAGTTTCTTCAAAAATGATGGAGCAATGTCTATATGTAATTGACAATCTGCAGTATGGATCACACAGTTATTCTTTTTTATTTGAAAGTTGGGTAATTTATTGGGCCTCAATAAGGAAACAAGCCTGGGACAGCAACTTTAACTCAGGGTTTGAGACAAGCTCACAAAACAAACCTGATATAGTGTTGTATACAAGCCAAGGTGGAGCTATAGAAATCTAATGAAATGCATAAATATCTGATGGATCCCAACATGTGCTATAGTATTTTCTTATCAGTGTCCTTTGAATTTACAAGCCTTTCCCTCTGTTTAGATCAGGGGTAGTCAACCTTTTTATACCTACCGGCCATTTTTGTATCTCTGTTAGTAATAAAATTTTCTAACCGCCCACCGGTTCCACAGTAATGGTGATTTATAAAGTAGGAAAGTAACTTTACTTT